AAATGTCAAACTGATGAAAGTTTAAGAGCGAATGGAAATAATTATGACACGTGCTAGTCTTGTGCTAGTAAAATCGATGTTAGTTATTTTAGACTCTTAAAAGTTATGTACGATTTGGTCTTTTGCACCATAGCTGGACTGTTGTGCTGAATTTGATCGATAATAAAAAAAGCAAGAAAGAAGGTTGAATTAGGGTGGTTTTCTTTTCTATTCCAGGTCTCACTGACAGTGGATCGAACAACAGCGGAACCAGGCAATACCGTTAAGTTCACAATAAAAGCAGATCCGGAATCGTATTGCTCTCTGCTTGCTGTCGATCAGAGTGTTCTGCTTCTGAAGTCCGGCAATGATATTACAACCGATTTGGTAGATGTTCAAATTGCAGTAAAAAAGCCTCAAAATTTTTAAATATTTTCAATAAGTTTTTCGAAAGAGTTAAATTTTACCCTTTGTACATTGAACAGCAGTCTCCGACTATGCAGTTGACAACTGTTCCCAGTTATTCTGACCACTGCTGCGTGGTCTGCCGATCATCTTGGTGCTCATTTCGTCGTTTGAAGGAACTCCTGCTAGCTCAGCGGTTCTCCTTTTAAAAGCATTTGGCAGGCCTCAACTGTTTCAAGAATCCTTGATATGAGTTAAGCATAACGACCTCGATTTGAAGTGACCAGTATCAAGCAACGTACGACTAAAAAAATAATATCTAAGAAAAATATTTTGCGTAAAAACCTGTTTGTGTTCTTTTAAAGTAGAAATGAGTGGACAGTTGCTCACACGTTTGTTGGGTAATATACAAGGAAAAATTATAGGTGGAGCAAGATGTGGAGCAATATGATACAACGGGCGGTCAACGAGGATATCGACCCTGGGAAGCAGTATATAGCCGCCGAAGACGCTCACTATGGTATCCATGGTGGGGAATCGGTGGAAGAGATGCATATACGGTCTTTGAAGTTAGTTGCTGTTTTTTCTTGAACATTTGTTCAAAACTTCATTAATCTTATGCTAAAATCCTTTTTTTAGCTAAATTTTCAGCCTTACGTAGATTTTTTGAATTCATTAAGATAGCCAAGACTACTTGGACAGTCGGCATGGGTATCCTAGGTCCGTGATGTTACTAAAATGCGATGTACACCAAGCACAACTATTTCAGGCCATCTTGACCACGGGCGGTATACCACCAGTTATTAACAATATCAATTAAACCCTTTGTTGCAAAATCTCAATGGCTTAAACATAAATTGTAGTTCACGGTGCCACAGAAAAGCTCAGGCGAATCATGTTTGGTGGCCGTGAAATCAAGGTTTTAAAGTGCTGAATCTAAAAATTCTTTTGATCAGCCCATATTATGCGTTTTTTGCAGCTATGCAATGCAGAAAACGCATATTGACGAGAGGTTGTCTGTGTG